ATCACGATGTGGCATACATTTGAGATTGCAGCAAGAGAGGCCTAGCATTCCGGACGATATATCTCCCGATCTCACGTTTATCATACAATCATGCTGGGTTGAAGAACCCAACATGAGACCAAGCTTTAGTCAGATCATCCGCATGCTCAATGCGTTTCTCTTCACACTATCTCCTCCTTTGCCATCAGAAGAAGCAGCAGTAACAACAACAACAGCATGTAATGGTGCTATTACCGAGTTTTCTGGCCGAAACAAAGGAAAGTTTGCTTTTCTACGCCATCTGTTTTCTTCAAAGAGGACCAAGAACTAGCAGTGAGTGAAAAAGATATGCCATGTTATGGTACATAATTTATGAGTAAAACCATCTAATGTAACAAGTAGAAGGATGTAACATGTTCCACAAAAGAATACATTGTTGTTTATAGACTTTATGAAAGAGTAACAAAGAAAAAGAAAAATAGGATTTGTTTACCTTATCTAGTTAATCTTGTTGTAAAGGAACACAATGGTATAAACATGTTCTTGTTTTGAGAAATGTTATTAACTAATGCATAGTAATTCATTGTAAAGTAGTTGTGTCCAATCTCTATTCCTTATTAATTCTATTATTTAAAATATAATTTGTATACTCACATTAAATCAAATGGACACTACTTGATGTTAATGATACATTGTTTTCGGTATTTGGACATATGACCTATAGATTATAAGGCAAACAATGTTTCTGTTGTGTCAAAAGGTTGTTATTCCTTTTGAAAACAAAAAAATAAACTTTAAAATTAAATTCATAGAACCACTAGATTTGAATGATCTTTAAGAGTGATGAATATGTCAAGATGGGTTTTAATTTGTCAATGTAAGTATTAATTAGTCTATGCTGAAATAAGGAGTTCGGTATTATGGTGTTTTCAGTGGGTCTAAATATTAGTCTAAAATAAGATGAATATAGTTCTAAGTTACTTGTGTGACGTTATAGTATTTTTTTTAAGGGAGGGAATTTACTTGTAAATTTTTTTAAACTTAATATATATCTTAGTCATTGGTTTAAATTAATGAATAGATTTAAACCATTATATTTCCCTAAAATTGATGGCTAAAATGTGGAGTAAGTTTAAAATTTTTACTAATTGAGTAAATGGATCTCACCTATTTTTTTTAATTATGTCAACTAACTTCTGTGTTGCAGAATTGAATTTGGGTGTTTCCTCCTTCAATCAAAAGTTCAAAACGTGCACTTTTTTTCCGGAATAAACATTTTTCTCTACAGCATTTTGATATATAAGAAAAATAACTTAACATACGCATTATGTAGTATAAAATTCAAGCACTAATTTTTGTCCCTGAAAACCAAATATATCAATGACACGATTTTATACCTTTTTTAAACTTAGACATTAAAATAATCCCTCAACGTACAAAATAGTATTTTCGATACAGCAATTCAGAACACATTTTCAAAAGAGCAGAATATTAATAATGAATCTTATATTATGGAGAATAGATTGAGATATCTCTTTTATACTAAGTTAAGTGATGTATAAATTAGCCTTCTCAATAGTTACATTCATCGACATCTTTAGAATGTTCTTGTAATTTCTTATACCTTAATAAAAAAAAATTATTTTAGCCGACAGAAAAAATTATTTTAGCCGACATAAAAAAATTATTTTAGCAGACAGAAAAATTTATTTGACATATAATAGTTTTCCACAATTAACGGGTGTTTGGAGGTGGAGTCATACTTATATAAAAGTAATAAAGTGATATATAAAACAAGACAAAAAATAATAATTATATTTGTCTACTTGTGTTAGTAATGATATATTTATCTTTCAAACTAAATGTAAAAATTAGGGATGTTCGAATTTAAACCAATTCAAAAATAAGACCGAAAATCGATCCAAAGTAGATCGAAATTGCAAAAATTAAATGTGTTTGGATTGTATTGGATTTATTTTTTAAAGACTAATCAATTTAGTTTGGCTTTCAGTTTCACCTCTTGGATCCAAACTGATCAAGACTGGACCAAAATTGTTTAAGTGTATAACCGTTTTAAGTATCTTTCAAATTTAACCAAAAATAGTTGAAACTTTTGTATGTGCACAAAATTGGTTAAGCTCCTCCTCGATTGCAATGGATGTTGAAGAGCTATTGGATGACTTAGAAAAGCTTTGGAAACGTATTTTATTTATTTGTTATATTCTATAACACATGTATATGTTGCTATTTTTAAATCATATTGATTAATTTGATATATATTTTTAGAACTTGAATTAATCCCACAACCAAATGAAAGGATTCCGGTACTGACTATATTATTATAAATTTTATTGCTCTGAGAGTTTTATTGTTATTAATCCTCACTCAGACTAGACTATCTAATTGCTTAAAATTATGTTACATGTACTCATATTATTGTTGTTATTTTAGTGTTGTTGTTGATGCTATTGTTGTTGTTGTTTACTTTATTCATATTGGTTTAGGTGTTTTTTGCTGCTGTTTACTTTCAATGTTACTTAACACTTTTTTAATGTTGTTTCGATGTTGTTGAATACTATCTTTTTGTTGTTTTATGCTTAATATTTAGTTATTTTTATGAGTTTTGAGTGTACGTGTAATTTCAATTTAAAAAAAAAAAACTGATCCAAACCTAGCTGAAAATGCATATAATATTTAGATTGGATAAGATCTTAATATAAATAGACTAGATTTAACCAAACTACATGTTAATTATGTGTTTAGATTGGATAATTTTTTACACAAAAATCGATCCAAATGGACCGCAAACACCTCTACTAAAAACAATATTTATTTTTTCATTGGAGAAGAGACTCGAAAGTGACGCAATCTCCCAGGGGCCCAAGCCATTTATAGGACATGATAAGGAGTGGCCTAACACACATAGAGGATTACCTGTCCCAAAATGATATCTTCAACCTTGTCTCAGCTAATCAAAGAATAGAAATGAAAAGTCACATGATATAAATTTTTAAATAATATGATACAATATTATTAGCTGAGATAGAATTAATGACAGCAGTAATTGTAACCTCATCCCGCTTAACAGATAGAAACTGGTGATCAAGTGAAGCATCCACCAGTCTCCTATCAAACATATACGTCTTAGTTTTGTGATCGGTTTATCATAGCATGCTTTACATTAAATATTTAATATGTATACAACAATAGGTTTTTTAATTGTTAACACAACATTCATATATTATTTCTTAAACAAAAATAATATACTAAATATATAAAAAAATTATATGAAACTTACATAAATATTAAACTCTTAATAAATGAAACATTTTGTCAATTCCTTCCCAACTTCTCCTTCTACTAAATATTCAATATGTAATAACCACAAGATTCTTGGGTCTGGAAATCTTTTACTTAGGTTTAAGAAGCTTTATAACGTTAGTTTGTCTAGGAATAATGCACCCCTCACTTTCCAATATTGTTTTTTTATACACATGTATATAGAAATTGAACACCGCGAACTAAGGAATTCAAAACTATTCATTCCACTTAGGAACACTACATGTTGATATTAAATGAAAAGAACGAAATTGACAAAACCTATTGTTTCTTCATGTTACCTTAGGTAATCTAAATCTCTATATAAAGTCCCAACATGCACCACAACTAAATCACACTATCCCTTCTGCCTCTAAACCTTTGCAAAATCATGGCTACTACTACCCAAATGGTGATGAAACTAACCTTCATTGGTATGATAATGAGTATGGTTTTAGGTTTAATCCCCTTGGCCTATGGTACTATTCCATGTGGGAAGATACAAGTGAAATTATTACCATGCCTTGGGTATGCTAGAGGACCTGGTGGTCCTGCACCAGGACAATGTTGCAATGGGCTTAGGGCATTAAATAATGAAGCTAAGACTACCCCAGATCGTCAAGGTGCATGTAAATGCATCAAAACCACTGTTCTTGGCGTTCCTGGAATCAATCTTGCAACTGTTGCTGCCATTCCTTCAAAGTGTGGAATCAACTTGCCCTATAAGATTAGCCCCAACATTGACTGCAACACGTACGTACTACTATATGTTTTATTTTATAATCAATTTGAGTGAATCAATTATAATGATAAAAATCATTTATAGCATAAATAATTGTTCACGTAGTAGTTATTTACATATTATATATATATATATAAATAAATAAAGTCATGTGGCATTTTGATGCATTATGAATATATTAACATCAAATTCACTTTGATTTCATCATTGCAGAGTTCGTTAAGAAGCATGGACGAAGATTTGCGCACGTGACATTGTACTTGGTTCGTGGTAATAAGTAATAACTATATATAGCAAAGAAAGAATAAATAAGATGGTTTGATAACCTTCTTTGTCATGATTCCCAATGAGGGAGTCCTTGAGACTATGCTTCCTATTATATTTGTATAAGACTACTAATATATGTCAGTTTAAATATTTGATGTCACATCATCGGAATTCTTATTATCGTCATTCACTCAACTCATACATAATCTATTAAGACTTAAGAACATAAGTATAGCTTAAACCAAAAGACTAATCTATTAGGTGAGAGAGACTCATAACTTAAGTATTACATTAAGTTTGCTATGCTAACCAATGTGGAACTCGTTAATTTCCGCATATATTAACCCTTAGCTTTTAATTTTGATGATTTTTAAGGATCAGCCTCTCCTATGTGACTTGGTTATTTTTGTTAGTTATTTTCATTAATTAACTAACCTCCATCTATAGAGGACACTGGTCCCCAATTTGGATAACGTAGCATCCTCCAAATACAAAAAAAAAAAAGAAACAAAATATGCCTCTCACTTTAATTATTTGTTCTGAGTTATTTACTATTTGGAATCTTGACAAGTCTCAATATTATAGTAACTCAAAATTCAGTCTATAGTTGAGACACTTACTCACACAACTCATTGAATTCTCTCCATCAACAAAAACCCATATAGTTTCTTACCATCAATTTTCAAAATCCCCACTAGACTTTTTCACCTACAATTTCGTCACTATCTTCGGATTCTCTTCTGTGTATTCTGAAAAAAGAACGAGAAAAGACATGAAATCTACTCTGAAATATCAGAGCCAGGTTTCGATCCTGGGACCTGTGGGTTATGGGCCCACCACGCTTCCGCTGCGCCACCCTGATCCTATATATGGGAATCAACAAAAAGGACTATAATATACATTAAAACAAAAGGCTTATGTTACACCTTATAGATCAAAACTGGAATAGTTATTTGAGTTGGGATTATTTTGCCATAGCTGTGAAATAAGTGCAATCATTCCAGACATATATAAAAAAAAAGAGAGACTATTTTTACAAGACACATAATTTATGTGTGAATGTTTAAGCTTAGTTTGTTGCATTAGCCAATATTTCTTAGTACAATGTTCCTAGAAAATCAAAACCTACTATAAATGAGATGTACAAGAGACAAAGAAGTTGCAGATAAATTGGTCCCTCCTCTGTATAATGTTTGGTTCATCAGGTTCCTTATTTCATGTTGCTTCAACTCATTTCCTTTTCTTTAGTTGAACACATTACAAACACTTGTACTCATGTCCATGCATGTTCTTTTCAGTTTTATGGCTTTGTAAGAGTGGAACATTCTCAGTAGTTGGTAGTTCCTGGCTTCCAACATCTTCTTTCACCTCTTCTTTTGCTTTACCCCACATCACAGTGTAAAACCCTATTGATATTATTATGGCTCCAACCACACTGAAAAGTATAGAAAGATTATAAGTAAATGAAATATGTAACATACAAAATCATTAAATTGCTTAGAGTGTTTTCTTTTACAAAAAATGTATCAATTTAAGGGAGTCCTTCAATGGGTGTTAACTTTTTAGAGAGTGAAAAATCACATATGATAAAGCAATTGAATATAAATGGTTAGCTTCAAATGGAGTATGAGTAAATAAATGTGTTCACATTGCTCAAATTAGATGTTTATTATTTTATGGTTTTTAATGTTACAATTCTATAGAGATGACTTAGCTTAGCCTCATTGGCAGTTCTAAATTCAATGTTTAAGAATTTGTTAGGTAAATTTAAGTGTTTAAACTATGAACCACATTACATGATCCAGTCACAATATTGCGATTGGAGTGACCGTTACAACTGTATCACCTAGTAATTATGGTGTGACACAAAATCACATCAAGTCATACCACAACCATATTGGACCGCGTTTGGACCACATCAGGCCGCAATGGACTACATTGTATTCAAAAATATTTTTTAATCATAAAATAGTCCACATCACAATGGCAGCAATCCACATTGCAATGACTACAATCACGATAATTGTAATTACGGTCACAATTGCAATTTAAAACACAGACGGAGAGTTTATAAGTGGAATAGGTCCATGAAACCATTACCTTAAGATTTTGGCTCAAGTTAAAATGTTTCACTTACAAGTAAGTTTTTACTCTCCCATAACATACTTGGAACTCGGCGATCGCGGTCCCAAACAATATTTGAGTATTTTAGATGAATATAAAGTTTTATGGTTAGGTGCATTTGTTAGTAAACATGTGTTTGTCCTTGAATATAGTCAGAACTCATACCTTCCAACGTGGAGAGAATCACCAAGGAATATGACTCCCAAGGTAACAGCTATAACAATTGAGAGTGGCTTGAACATTGCTACATAGACAGGCCCTTTAATGCGTAATACCCATGTGTGAACTGCATTGTTCAAGAACGACCCAAAAATTCCCTATAACCAAGTAATTCATCATCACAATTACTTTCAAAATTACTAACATAGTCTAAGGATATGTTGTCCTAAACTATGTCTTAAAATCATGTCATGCACCAATAAAAACATGTCATGTCAATTAAAAAAGTTAAACATTCATATTGGTGCAGAACATAATTTGGGACACGGTTTGGTACAACAAATCTTTATTCAATATTTAATTTATGTAATAGCTTTTGGATGGATATTTCTTACTGAGCAAATGATGGAAGCCAATGATGTATCTAGTCCTATTTTCCATGCACTTGGATTTTTCTCTGTAAATAGAGCTACAATTGCTGCCAAAATGCTTACACATAAGTTGTAAAAGAAGATTACAGTTAGTTCATTAGGATACACCTTCATGATTTGCACCTGTAGAATGAATAACTCTTTTGAGTAAATAAACATTTTGATAATTTTTTACATGTTAAGCCAAATGAACCAGAAAAATTGTACCTGAACAATGTACCATAATGGAATAAGTGTATACTCAGTTGTTAGTAGAAGACCACCAATGATCCAATTTTGGTCCTCTGAATTGAGAGTGTTAATTGATTTATGAAGTGAAATGGAAGGTGTATGACCTATAATAGTTGGTCCTTTGTAAAGGGTCACTGCAAATGCTCCAGATATTGATACTATGGTACCTATGATTTTGGCTTTACTACTTGCACTTTTAGTTACCTTTTCCATCCTTCAAATATTAAGACAAAAATAACATAAAAACACACAAAAAAAAAATATAGTTTTATCACAATTCAGTCATCATATTTTGAACCAAAACCTTAATACATTAATCTCATGAGTTTTTTCTATTTATAAACTTTTTCATTTTTTCCCTCATATCCAATTTGGGATTTCACACTTGGATAAACCAAAAAAATATGCAAGACTTATAGCTGGTAAATTAAATTGGTTATTTGTATAAGTAGATGAAAATTGAAGCTTGATTGTTAAGTTAATTTGACTCTTGTTGTTTCTCTTTTTTCCTCTAACTCCTCAACAAATTTCGATTTTCGTCAGACTCTTTCATAAAACTTCTCTAGTCATCTTATCACACGTCTTCTTCAAATCAATAAAGATCATGTGTAAGTCCCTTTGATTCATTCAATATCTTTATATCAATCGCAATAGCAAGTATATAGCCTCCATGGTCGGCCTCCCCCGACCACTCATATATTATCGCGGATGCCATCACTTCAGTTACTTAAAGTATGAAATAAAGTGGTAGTGCATGACAGATTTTAGATGATAGCATGAAACATGACAAATAAATCCTATGAAAAAGGGAAGAAACCTGAAAATGATGGCAAGCAAGAAGGTAAAAGCTGGCACCAAGTTGCTGATAGCTGAGGAAAGAGTGGGAGAACTTAGGCTAATGCCTGTGTAACCCACTACATTAGATGAACATCTGAAATTAATATCACACCAATCAAAATCATTAAGAAGAAATATTTGGTAACAATCTCTATAAATATTTCATACTTAATAGGCTAGTTTATTTATTTCCTTAGTTAAGACAATATGTTTATTAGTTATTTGTTTTTGTTGTTGTTTTCTTGTCTCTCCTATATAGAGACTAATTGTAAACATTTGATATATATTAAAAAAGTACACATTGCAAAGTTGGTATGAGAACAACACTCTGCAATTTAAGAGACAATTTCAAACTTCTAGATTCTGCAATTTGACATATACTCAAAAAAATACACAATTTTCAAGTTGGTATTAGGTGCTGAATTTTCAGACTCCATTAGACAGCTTCAAAATCATTGCATTTAAAAATATTTGATTGTACTGCATTTGTTTGCCTATATAGTAATTCTAAGTTAAAACATGATTCCTAAGCTAAAATATGTGTTTTCATTGGTTATGCTCAAGAGCTTGGTATGAATAGATAACTAAATAAATTATATAAACTATTAAAATATAAAATAGGTAACTAACTCAATAACAAAATTCTAAGTAACTAGAAGTTACCTAACAGAAACTTAGAAAGAAACTAAGTGTGGAGGTTAAAAAAGTCTTTGTATTTGGTTGAATGTTTTCAGACTGTTGTTAAAGTTTTTGGCTACAGCCAAAGCCAGGAAGATCACACATTATTTTATAAGCATAATGTTAATAGTAACATTGCAATATTAAATTTTATATGTTGATGATATCATTTTAACATGAAATGATGATGGTGCCCTTAGTATTTTGAAGAAAGAATTGGTTGAAGTCTTTGAAGTCAAATAACTTGATTTTCTTGGAATAGAATTTGCTAGATCTAAAAATTGAACATTTGAAAATATATCCTTGATTTGTTTAAAGAAACATGTTTATTGGATGTAAGGAAGCTCAAACACTAGTTGATCCAAACATAAATCTTCAGCTACCTAAATCAAAAGATGTTATGGAAAAAGAAATGTATCAATGGTTTTCTGGGGACTAGTTAAGGAAAGGATAGTGAGTGAGAATATTTGTATTCCTTATGTCCCAATTAAGGATCGAATTGCACATAGCCTAACCAAATGGTTGTCTATGAAGAACTTTGACAGTAAGATGTCCACGGAAGATATTTTAAGCCAATTTGAGGAGAGTACTGATTGTATGAACATAACCTTTCTGAATACCAATAAGAAGTTAATCTAGTAGTGTAAGACTCAACTTGATCCCCACATAGGCTAAAATGTCAAATATTCGATTACCGAAAGTAACATCACCAATATCTTATAACAATCATCATCGTACATATTGTAATTACTAGGCTAGGACAATATGTTTACTAGTTGCTCATTTTAAGGGATTTGTTCTTCTTATTATTATCTACTTGTCTCTCTTATACATGTAAACATATGACATAAAAATACACCTTTTTCAAGTAAGGGTAAAAATGATTATCATACTTCATACACAAGAATTGCAAAATAAAGTGGTTGACTTTTGGTTAGATTGGATCAAAATCAAAATTCATAACAATTGAGGATCTAAAAGTAAGGAAAGCATGTACCCTATAAGCCCAAGAAGACCAATTCTACAAAGTATTGGGTAACTGAGGGGAGGAAGCACTCTTGATCTGCAAAAAAGACAAACCAAAAAAATATGATCATTCAATTGTATTTGTCTAATGATATGTTTCTTGTTTTGTCTTTGTTTCTTATGCAATAAAAAGATTCATAACCTGGTAGAGATAAATGGTGCAGGAAGGAGCACAATAGTAGCAACAGAATAAGCATAAACAATAAAAACATGGTAGCTCATTCCTCTTAAAGTAGCAGCTTTGAACAAAGTGTTTAAGGCCACATTAATGGATTCCATTGTCACCATGACCCCAAATGGAAGTAACTCATTGTAGCAGTATCTTTTTACTACCCCTATTTCTGACATGAATTCACTCTCTATAACCACAAACAAGG